AAAAAAAAAAAAAAACTGCGTGGAAAGAATGTTTATTAACTCCAAAGTTTGTTAACCCAAACATCGACTGACCATAAATTTACAGCCCGTGATTCTTAATTGCCTCTTCCGGTTCGTTTACCAAAATTACCCGAAAAATGGCCCCCTCGTGGCAGCAATTCAATTCGATCGACTCGGTTGGTTTCTCTCTTTATCCCTAGTTCCAAATTCATCGTTTCCCCCAAATTCATCGTGTTGCGCAACCGTGTATCAGCGGTATTTTTCGCAGTGTCTACCACTACGTCACGTTTCCAACGAACGTACGTAAACGCGAGCTCGACTCGATTCGCGAGTTGCGCTGCGATCGCGGAATTTCGATTAGATTACCGTGCGGTGGTACACGGCATTCGTCGGGATAACGAGCTCGGAATGAAACGCACCGGCGGCGGCGCGACGGTGCGTTTCATTCCGATCTGCATGAGAATCACGATTTCGCAAAGTATCGTTAATGAACGACGCCGTCGAATTCCACGTGCACCCTCTCTCTCCTCCGCCGCGCCTTGCCGCGTGACGCACAGGCGAAAACACGCGACTCGAATTCGTCCATTCATTCGCACGCGTGCCCTTCGCGGCACTCTTTTGTACGCACGATCGCGCGTACGCAATTACGCACACGCCGAGCAAAGCGGTTCATTCACTCGGACTCGGACTCGGCCTCGGTCACGCGCCAGGTTCTTCTTTCATATTCCCTCGTTTACCGCGAGGTATGCTAAACGCCAAACTCACATTAATCTACGGCTGCCATCATCATTTCAAACGTCCCACGCGGATTGTCCCCTACACCATATCTACGTCGTAGAAAAAAATGCTTCTCAAGAACTTTGCCAGAATGTTTCAACTTGCAGTTTACTCGAAAGATTGAAATTTTGGTCTAGAGGTGGCTAACTAGCGGCTCGCATAGGATCCTTACCACCACTTTTCTGATTGCTAGCGCTATCCCCTCCACTGCATCGATCTCCCCACTCTCAGTTGAGAGTGTCGTGGTCACACACTCGCAGTATATATGCATACATATAAATTGTTTTCTTTACTAAAGTTAAAGGAAAGCAGTTTGTATGGCCCGCTGCAGCGGGGCAGAATTTTCATGGTTGGGGAATCGACTGAGCAGCTTGTGCGAGCCGCGGCGGGGAAGAAGTTCGCCACCTCTGCCCTACACCATCCCGTCATAGAAAAAAAATGTATCGAGTGTTTCTCGACATTTTTTAACAACATTTGAAAGACTGAAAATTTTAGTTTGGGTGGATATGCTTTCGAGACATCGACCTTTGTCCTTTTAAACTATGCACTTTTTCCTCAGATGAACGTGAATTCATCGAATTCTTATTACTCTTAATACTCTTCTTCGTTGATGTTGTTATCCAAAATTGTTACCTTTACCTGCTGTTGAATATACTAAGAAATTATTATCATATCTTTTATATTTCGAAATGGTAACCTCGAGCGTCGATGCACTGATTCTCTAGAGGTAGTTGCACTCTCTTCAATGTTTCAATATGTTTCATGAATTTGTCGTGGAATGGAAGAAAAATACACGTCTGAAGAAAAATACTTAGTTTCAATTTAAAAAAAAAAAAAAAAAAAAAAAAAAACAAAGGTCACCATGAAATCTCGAAAGTACATCTCACTTAGATCAAGATTTATGACCACCACAAAATGCCTCTAATATACATTAAATAAATATATATACAATAAGATTCCTCTGCTCGACAATTTTTTCAGTCGGGTGAAGTAGCAACTCGAGATGATTTTGCGCATATGCGACGAGTGTCTTACAGGTAACATAAAATTTTATACACAAATTAACTTTCAAAATCATTATATTTTAATAATTTATCTGTATGCACATCTTT